GAGCGCCCCGTCGCCTAGCCCAGCCTCTGGGCCGCTCGTCGTGAGGGGCTGCACCACGGACCCGTCTGCAGGGACGGCTCCCGGTCGGGGTGGGACCTTCCCATCCCCCCTGGCAGGGAGGCCCCCAGGCCGGCTGGGCCTCGGGCGAAGGTCTTGACAGCGGGTCCTGGCTCTGAGCCACTGGGGAGTGGGGGCCCGAATTCCTGCGCCCCTCTGGCACCCTGCACCCAGGGCAAAGCAAACGCGCAGGGCGGCTCTGGCACTGCAGGAGGTCGCTGCCCGTCGGGGTACCCCCACCTTCTCCCCACTGCCGGAGAGCCAGGGCCTCCCCGGAGTCATCAGCACCGATGTAATGAACGGCCCCAGCTCCATAGCCTTTCTTTGCTTCCCCTTTCCCTTTCCCCTTTGCCTTTCCCTTTTCCTTATTCCCCTTCCCCTTTCTCTTTTCCTTATTCCCCTTTCCCTTTTCCTTATTCCCCTTTTCCTTTCCCCTTTTCCTTATTCCCCTTCCCCTTTTCCTTTCCCCTTTTCCTTATTCCCCTTCCCCTTTCCCTTTCCCCTTTTCCTTTTTCCCCTTCCCCTTTTTCCCCTTTCCCTTTTCCTTATTCCCCTTCCCCTTTCCCTTTTTCCCCTTTCCTTTCCTTTCATCTCAAGAGGGGGTTGTTCTCACAAAAGCTTCTGCTCCAATACCCTAAGACATTCGTTAGCCTTTAAAGCAGGGGGGGGGAACCTAAGACCCAGGGGCCGGATGTGGCCCCCGGCTTGCCTGGAGGCTCAGGGGCTCCCCCCCAGCATTGGAGAACCCACGCTGGTCCTCCCCCACCCCCTACATCGCCCTGCAGGGCTGGAGTGCACAAAATCTACTAGCCTGGTCTGGGGCCAGGTCAGAGAGGGGTCGCCTGGCAGGACTACATCTCCCATGAGGCAGCAGAGCCCCTGGGATTTCAGTCTGCTACCAGAACCTCAGCATTTCTGAGAAAAGCAAAGTAATGTAGGTATGCGTGCGTGCGTGGGGGGGTGCAAGTGTGTGTGCACGAGTGGGTAGGGGTGTTCAAGTGTGTGCACCTGCATGAGTGAGTGTGCATGTGTGCGTGTGGATGTGGATGTGTGTGTGCAAGTGAGTGTGCACGTGTAGGGGTGCAAGTGTGTATGGACCTCTGAGTGCAAGTGTGTGTGCACGTGTGAGTGTGTGCACATCTGTGGGTGCAGGTATGCAAATTGTGTGTGTGCGTGCATGCGGGTGGGTGCACGAGTGCATGTGTGTAGGAGATGTGTGTGCATGTGCATGGGTGTATGTGTGCACGTGTGTGTGCACGTGTGTGTGTGTGCAAATGCATGGGTGCAGGTGTGCAAGCGTGCGGGTGCCAGTGTGTGCGCACAGACAGCCTCACTGTCCACCCACCTCTCCTTCTCCACTGCCCGCTGGCCAGGGGTGGCCTTCGCCAACGGGGAGCGGTGGCGGCAGCTGCGCCGGTTCTGTCTGAGCACCCTGCGGGACTTCGGCATGGGCAAGCGGGGCGTGGAGGAGCGCATCCGGGAGGAGGCCCAGTGCCTGCTGGAGGAGCTCCAGAAAACCAAAGGTCCGAGCAAGTTTGTGTCTCTCCGGTGTCCTGCAAGGTGCTGAAAGCACCAGCCGGGTCCCATGGCTCTGTCCCTCCCCTCCACTAGGGGCGCCCTTCGACCCCACCTTTAACCTGAGCCGGGCCGTCTCCAACGTCATCTGCTCCATTGTCTTCGGGAGCCGCTTCGAATACACCGACGAGACATTCGTCACCCTGAACAAGCTCATATACCACCGGTTCCGCTTTGCAGGCTTAGCTCCCGCCCAGGTATGGGAGGAACCCCAGTCTCCCTCCACGCCAATTTCCCTGGCTCATTACAATCTCTCTCTGCCTCCCCCCTCCAAATTCCCCAGCCTTGCTTCCGGCCCTAACCTTGCTGCTGCACGGTTGCCACGTTCCACCCCAGAGGTAGCTGCATTTTTAATGTTGGGCAAATATTTCCCATTTTCCCTAACTTCAGCTGCATCCCAACGCTGTTTGGGCGACCCTGTTATACACAGCTGTCACGTTCCACCCCAGAGGTAGCTGCATTTTTAATGTTGGGCAAATATTTCCCATTTTCCCTAACTTCAGCAGCATCCCTGGTGTAAACAGCTGCCCAGCTCCACCGCAGAGCTAGCTGGATTTTGCCGACAGCTGAGACCTGTCTATTTTAGATCAAATGTCTGAAGGCAGGTGAGGCGGAGGGCGCTGCTGAACTTAATGATGAACCAATTATTGTTACTAAACAAAATCAGGCCCCTGTCACCCATGAAGCTGTTTGGCTGAGACTGGGGGGGTGTACGACCATCGAACACAGCATGAAGCAGCCTCTGCAATGGGGGAGCAGCAGACTCTGAGCCCACAAACATAAGCCCCCCGCCCCAGATCCCTCCCCAGAGTGACCCAGCTGGCAGAAGTAGTAGGTTGTTATCCGCAGTGCGGCGCAGTCCTGGGTGAGCCGGGTAACCACCGGTTTTCCTTACAGCTGTACAATTCCTTCCCCGGCCTGCTGGAGAAGCTCCCCGGACCCCACCACGCGGGAAGCAAATACTCTCGGGAGATCATCCGTTTCATCACCGAGAGAATCAAAATGCATCAGGCTGTGGCGGATCTCAGCATGCCCCAGAGCTTCATCGACTGCTTCCTGGTGAAAATGGAGCAGGTAACTAAATCTGGGGGGGGGGTGCCCACGGCTCCACCCCTTCAGCAACCTTCCTCCCAATGGAGCCAAGGCCCCCCAACCCGATCTTTCTTGACCACCTGTAGGGCCGGGGCTGCCATGCCAGGGTCCCAGCCTTAGGCAGCTGGGCGTGCAGGCAGTTTTGGAAAGGCTATGCCTTCCCTTCCGTCCATTACCAGCCACCCATGGCTCTGCAGTTTAGCGTGCTAGTAAACCGGGCGATGTCTTCGCCAGCCCACCTTTACCCGGGGCAGAGCGGAGCTGGATCGGCTGGCGCGGCTGGAAAGTTAGTGACCACCCCAAAAATTAAAAAAAAAAAAAAACAAGAAAAAAATTAATTTCAGGCTGATCTCAAGCGAGGGTTTTTGTTGTTGTTGTTGGGGTTTTTTTTGGCAAACTCAAAAAAATCGAGACTTTCCCTTTGGGTCACGCAAACGGATTCCCCTTGAGACTTTTAACCTTCAGAACGAAGAACATAAGAACGGCCGTACTGGGTCAGACCAAAGGTCCATCTAGCCCAGTGTCCTGTCTGCCGACAGTGGCCAGCACCAGGTGCCCCAGAGAGGGTGGACCAAAGACAAAGATCAAGCGACTTGTCTCCTGCCATCCCTCTCCAGCCTCTGACAGACAGAGGCCAAGGACACCATTTTATCCCCTGGCTAATAGCCTTTTATGGACCTAACCTCCATGAAATTATCCAGCTTCTCTTTAAACTCTGTTATAGTCCTAGCCTTCACAGCCTCCTCTGGCAAGGAGTTCCACAGGTTGACTCCGCGCTGTGTGAAGAAGAACTTTCTTTTATTAGTTTTCAATCTGCTACCCATTAACTTCATTTGGTTCATTTGGTTCATTTGGTCCTCTAGTTCTTCTATTTAGGGAACTAATAAATAACTTTTCTTTATCTGCCCTCTCCACACCACTCATGACTTTATAGACCTCTATCATATCCCCCCTCAGCCTCCTCTTTTCTAAACTGAAAAGTCCCAGTCGCTTTAACCTCTCCTCATATGGGACCCGTTCCAAACCCCTAATCATTTTAGTTGCCCTTCTCTGAACCCTTTCCAAGGGCAAAATATCTTTAAAAAACAAATAACAAGTTGGTGCTAACGGGGGAAAAAACCCCAAACGCTTTGTTTTGACAAAGTCTCGGCCCGATGTTGGTTTTTCGGGGGGGTTTTATTGACAAAGTCAATTTGGCAAAGTCAACTCGCTACATGCTTCACGGCGACCCCCAATCTGCGCTTTGGGCCAAATATTTCCTCCAAACTGTTGTGCCTTGTTTGAGAAGCCGCTTTAGGAGTTTGCAAAGTTGGCAAAAAACTTCTCACTGAACTTTTCAACGCTGGAAATCAATTCCGTTTCCAACACCGCGAATCCTGCATGGGAAACGCCCGCTTCCCTTGGCAGTTTTTATGTGAAGGAGGAAAAAGCCAAACCGCCCTTGTTTTCCGGCAGCAGTATTTTGACATCAAACCTCCGGCTCAGCTCTCAGCGCTGTGAGCTTAAGGAGTTATCCTCTTTGCTGGTGGCAGCAGTAGGTTGTTATCTTACCCATGAAATGCCCTTGAGACCAGTCACGGTGGCCACTAGGAAAGGGCCACCCTTAAGGACAGACCCTAACAGGGCCCTTAAAGAGGCAGCATGGCTGAGTGGGTAGAGCACCGGGGTGGGGGACAGTCTGCCACTCCTTGGGTTGTCCCCCTCTGTGCGTCCTTTTCCCCACCCGGATAAGGACGGCACCAAGCCTTCGAGGGACAGATCTCCAGAGGATCTAGGACTGGATCAGGGCGCTGATGGCTGATCCCTTTCTCCAGGAGAAACAGAATCCCGCCACCGAGTTTTTCCTGGAGAACCTGGTCATGGCCACCTTCAATTTATTCTTCGCCGGGACGGAGACCGTCAGCACCACCCTGCGCTACGGCTTCCTCATCCTGCTCAAATTCGAAATGCAGCCCTCCATGGGGCAGGAGGCATGACGTCCCGCCCAGCCCCGGCTGGGACATGGGCAGTGGCTAATCCCCCCCTTTCCGGCCCGCCCCCCAGAGAAAATCCACCAGGAAATTGACGCGGTGGTGGGGCGGGACCGGACGCCCACCACGGAGGACAGGGGCCGGATGCCGTACACGGACGCCACGCTGCATGAGATCCAGCGCTTCTGTGACATCCTGCCGATGAGCCTCCCGCACACCGTGATCAGGGACACCTGGTTCCGGGGGTACCTCCTCCCCAAGGTGAGGCTGGCG